TTCCAATGTTTTATCCCTCTTTAAGTGAAGCAATTTCTCCTTATATCTAACACAAATCTCCCCTGCCACAACTTGAGGACATTTCCTCTTGTTCCTATACTATTTGCCTGGGAGGAGAGACTGTTGCTCGCTGTGCTGCAACCTCCTTCTAGGGAGTTGTAGAGAGCAATAAGGTTCCCTCAAGCCTCCTTTTCTTCGGACTAAACAATATCAGTACCCTCAGCCGCTCCATAAGACTTATATTCCAGTCACTTTTCCAGGATCATTGTGTTTCTTTAGAGTTTCTCTAGGGTCTGAAGTGAGGGGTCAAAAACTGAGTGCAGAATTCAACGTGCAACATCACCAGTGCTAAATAGAAAGAGAAAATATCTACTTTCTTATATTCAAGATGCCTTTCAAATGTCTGTAGCAAATGACAGAGCTTCAGCTTGATTTTGTCACTGTCATTTGCACATTTAACATGTACCATATTCTCTTTTCATACATGGCTTAAGGCCAGCACAAGGAGAGAAGATGTGATCAGTCTGATGAAAAATAGGATAAGTAATTTTTTCTTTAGACTGATGATGGGCACTTTTATTTTCACAGTGTCCCAACAGCTCCCCATAAACATTGTCTGTGCATAGTACAATCAAAAATCGTGTTGTTGACTTTTTCACTTTGCTGATCTAAAAACATAACATCATGACTCTAGGTGTTGGGTAACTGTTTGAGATGCTGATTAGGTGCACAAACTGGAAAATAAAGGTGGTGCAAAACTAGCAAGCCAGAAGGAACATCTTTTAATTTAATCATTCTGTCACTGTGTTTGATCCAGTGCTGAAGCTCTTCTGGAGCCACATTGTACTTCTTCAGCCAGCCTGGTGAAGGGAGGGCTGGAGACCATGATACTTGTGTGGCACACCCAGGTGGCAGTTCTGTGCTGCTGGCTTAGTTCCCTGAGTACTGCAGTATTTCATGCAGAGTACATCCCACACACGGGGCTGTGCAAGGGGCACAGGGAGACCACCTTCAATGCAGTAAAATCTTGGTCTTGTTTCTTCAGCTGGAAGTCCACCCTATTATTGAGCGCACAGAGCTGAATACCAACCATGTCCTACTATACCTGGAAAAGGTGAGGATGAGGCAGAAACACATGCATTGGTAATTTTGGCGGCATAGAGCAAAATCTGGAATTCAAAACTACCGTGGCTCTGCTAAGAATGGGACCGAATATTTTACTGTCTTTTTCTGACTACAAACTCTTAAGGTTTTAGACTTAATGCTACTTCTATCCCAGCCCACAGCCAGCATTCCCTCCACCCTATGTACAGATTTCCCAACAAGCAGAGCCTCCCCGAGGGTGGGGAATGGTCCTAGGGTTTGCCCCTGCCCCTCAGCCAGCCCTACAGCCCTGTGTCCCCCCAGAGTGGGTGGCCAGGGAGAGTGTGTGAGCTGGGGGTCAGCACAGAGGCACAGGGGAGCCCCTGCAGTGCAGAGCCCCCCTGAGCCTCTCCTGCTTCCCTTCCCCAGCTGGGCAGGGAGACCCTCAGCTTCTCCTTCACCGTGGAGAGGGACATCCCCGTGCGGGGCCTGAAGCCAGCCCAGGTGAAGGTCTATGACTACTACGAGACAGGTGAGTGCCAGTAGTGCCCGTGGGAGAGAGGCTGGGCAGGGGGACACACGGAGGGGCACAGGAGCTCCGGGGACCCGCAGCTGCCCCAGCCAGGCACTGCCACCCCAGCCCTGCCCTGAGCTCTGGGGGTGCAGAGGGACTGGGGTAGAGCCATGGATGCTGGGGGTCCTGTGTTCATTTCTGGCCCTGCAGTGTGGCCGTGCCTGTGCTTCCAGGCAGACCTGCTGCTCTGTGAGCCTCTGCTGTCCTGGCTGCTGTGCCAGGGTGGCAGTGACAGAGCTGTTTGTCCCCACCTCAGTCCAGTGTGCTGGGAGGAGGTGTCTGAGCAGCCCCTGGCTACACCAGGGTGGAGACCTGCTGGAGCTGCCTGTGCAGGTGGCTCTGCCTTGCTGCCACTGCCCCCAGGCAGGGCTGGGACTGGGGCTGCCTCCATCCCAACTGGGATCTCTGGGGGAAACTGGGGATAGAGGCACCAGCCTGCTCTGAGGGTCTGGGAAAAGCATCTCTGTGGCACACATCACTCTGCTAGCAGTGCCAGGGGTCATGAGAGTTCATTCTCCCTTCCCTTCTCTTTTCCAGATGAGTTTGCCATACAGGAATACAGTGCTCCCTGTACCTCAGGTAGGTGCAAACAAAAAACTGAGATGCTCCAGCAGGGAGTGTTGCAGGTTGTCTTGAACTAGAGTCTTTCTTGTTTCCTTGTGTTTCCTTGGCCTGTGTCTACTCTCAACATTTCTCCACTGGGCCTACTGCAGTCCCCATATCAGTACAGAAAAAAGCAATGCTGCCACCCAGCTTCCTCTGTAAGATCAGATACAGCTTTAATTTTCCTTATTTGCATATAGCAACCTCAGTATTACTGCCTTTGTTTGTACAGTGGCAATTGCCTTTTCCTGTGTTAGCATCAATTTATGCAAATAAGATTCAAGTCTCCCTTTGGATGGAGCATCGCACTCAGCCTTTTAGGGCCACATCTGCTATGCTGCAGACACTGAAAGGTACTGAGGAATTGTCTCCCAGATAACTTGGTGAAATGTTGATGTTACTCACATCTCTTTATCAAGGACCTTTCAAACTCTTCTCATGTTAATTTTGCTTTCCCATGAGAAATGCATATGCTGAGAGATAATGTGTGTTTGGATAACTCATGTATTTCCAGGACAAATCTGCCTCCCTTCTCTGTAGCATAGATATTTTGAATGTGTCCAGTCATTCCCATTCTGTAATCTGTCTGCAACTGGGCATTTTTAGGTGAAGAAGTTTCTCATAGTTTAACTGGCTTGAACTCACATAGCCACCAGAACACAGCAATATCCAGGACTCTGGATATCACTCACCAAAAAAATTATCTCACTTTGTCCTTTTCCCACCTCCAGACGAGGCTGAACAAGGAAATTACTGAAGAATGCATCTTGTTGGAACCTTGTTGTATCAGCTCATGTGTCTCTGCCCCTAGAAGATCTTGTTAAGGGAGAGGTATTGAAATGTTAGAGGACACCTCAAACGCAAAAAAGAAGCAACACTATAAATAAATTAATTCTTGTTTCTCATCGGATGTCTCTGACCTTGTTTTCTGTTACTGTTACACTTGTCTCTCTTCCTATCCATGTCATGGCCTGAGATTTCAATCCAGAGCCATCCATGGCAAGGTGGTGTTTGGGACCTCCTCAGGAATACCAGAAGGCAGACAGCTTTTGGGAGATTGTGAGCTGGGAGATTTTTCTCCATACCTGCCAGTTCTCTAAGGAGAGAGGACATCATATCTCACCCATTATGCACTGGAAGTTTGTCCCTCTGCCTTTACAGAAGGTGTTTTCTGCAAGGTGATCCTTGGACAAACCTCTGATCACATATTGCCTTTGATTGCACTGTGAAATCACTGCTGTGATGTTCAAGGACACTGTCCTTGATGTTCAAGAACCTGTCCAATCTGATCTTTTGCAGCAGCCCAGATAGAAGTGAAGACCTGTGGACTTTCCCATTCTATCAGGGTCTGCTTGTTTCTAAGCAGCTAAAGTGAAATCAGAGACGGACTGGGAGGGGCTGACCTTTAGAGTGTCATTCATATAATTTTTTAGGTTGGACAAGGCTTTAAGGTCAAATCCTACTATTAACCCAGCATTGCTCAGTCCACTGCTAAACCATGTAGGGTTGCATGGGGTTCTTGTGTACACAGGACAAGTGTAGGACCCAGCACTTGGCCTCACACCACTGGCCTTGACCCATGGATCCAACCTGTTCAGATCCCTCTGCAGAGCCCTCCTGCCCTCCAGCAGATCCACACTCCCACCCAGCTTGGTGTTTCCTTCAAACTAACTGAGGGTGCACTTGATCCCCTCAGGTCATTGATAATTAAGCAGGAGTGGCCCCAACACTGAGCCCTGGGGTACCCTGCTGGTGACCAGCTGGATGTAACTCCATTCACCACCTCTCCCTGGGCCTGGCTGTCCAGACAGTTTTGTAGCCAGCAAACAGAGCACCTGTCCAAGCCATGGGCAGTCAATTTCTCCAGAATTCCATGGGAAGTGGCATCAAAGACTTTACTGAAGTCTGGGTAGCCTACATCCATGGTCTTTTCCTTATCCATGGAGTGGTTCACCTTGTCATAGAATGAGATCAGACTGATCAAGCAGGACTTGCCTTTCCTAAACCTCTGCTGGCAGGATCTCATCACCTAGTTCTCCTGTATGTGACACATGATGGCAGTCAAGATAATCTTAGGCAAAAATTCAACGAAGAACCACTTTGAAAATTCAACCAAAAACCCCTTGCATTTTTCATAAAAACTTTATCATCTTACCCTCAGTGGAGGTTCACAGATCTCCTCTGGGTTGTCTGATTAATTTTTAATACCTTTTTTTCTCCTTGACAACTAGGCTTGCAATGCTTCTGCAGATTTCAATAGGCAGGACCTGGATTCACATCTCATCATTTGAGCTAAATATTTTTCATGTACATTTTCCAAATGGCTGTATTTGCTGTATAATGGTCTAAATGTCTGACAGGGATGCAGAGGCAGTCAGCCTCAGTTCAGGAGGTCACATGGCACCATGTGTGTTTTACTTACAAGTTTCTACATGCAGAGGTGCCTTTCACCCTGGCAATGTAAGCTTAAGCAAATACACCTATAGGAGTCCCACTTGTAGCTTATTTCACAAATACAGACCCTCCTTTCTCTGGAAAAACAATTGCCTCAGGGTAGAAAAAATGAATGGCTATATTATTTCTAATTCAAACCAAAATGCAATTTAGCTGTATTAGAAATTTTGCTCAGCTGTCACTGAAGCTGGTTCATTACATAGTCTCCTCTGAATATGAGGCATCAAAAGGCTTTGAGTGTCTAAACCCCAAACATCACAGAAGACAAAGTGACGTAATATTAATATCTAGCAAAATAGATGAAGAATTTTATTTATTCTCAATGACACTGTTTGTACAGGCACACTAAACCAAAAATTGGATGGAACAGCCAGCTGTGCACACTTCGGATGCACAACATGCCTAGCAATAAGCATTTCATGAGAATAAACAGTGACAAAAGATTTTTTTTTTTGCATTCAAAAGTTAAAACCACAAATTCAAGAGTCAAAACGAAGAAAGGGGGATCATTTCTGGAGGTGTCAAAGAGGCCTATAGACAGTTTCATCAAAACATAGGCAGGTAGGTTAGTGGCAAATGCCATTACCTTCTCCTTGGGAATCTCCCAAAAGTAGAAGACATGAGATAATGGAAACTTCCACGAGAAAGCTCAAGCTTCAGCTGGAGAACAAGCCATTGTAAGTCAGCAGCTGAGGGCATAATGCATGCACACATCACTCCTGCCCCCCTGGCATTCTCTAATCACTGAAGAGGGCAGACTGTCTCCTCCCACTCTTCTAGGAACAAGAAACAATCCCAGGAGCGATGTCTGCAGGGAGGATCACAGAGGCTGATTTTCATGTAGCATTAGTTGATCTTCTAGGCTGCCTAATGGTGGGAGACATGGAGAGGCCTCTGCAGAGACCAATTCAATTGATTTGCAAGCCAGGGCAGAGAAATTGTTCCCAAGAACTACCTGTCCTTCTCCATTGATTAGACTGCATCTCAGATGATGAGTTCAGAGAACACAACACAGAGACAGATACATTAAGTAGGCTGACCCCTACTTAGATCATTCTGTCCTCTTTTTCCCCCCCCCTCACTTCTTAGCCTTATTTCCCTGCACACAGGCATTGTTAGATGGGTTACTCTTTAACCTAAGAAGACAGGGAGATTAAAGCTGTGACTGAAACATGAGCAGGAAAAATCAAAATGGGGAACAAATTGTTCAAAAAATCATTGGTGAGTACAGTTAATTTATTTGTAAAGTTCACTTTCCATTCCATGCAGGCATTATTAATGTCATGCTGTGGTGGTGGTGGTGAGGCAGGCAGGTTCCAGCATCTGGAAGTGCTCTTCAGTCATTCCCCTGGTCTACTTCCTCTGCAAGGATGAAAGAAGATGGGAGGGAACAGGAGTCAGAGAGATATGTCTATCTGCTTTCTAAGGCTGAGAGACAGTGGGAGCAAGATGTGGATGTGGAAGCCAGGTTGTGTGTGAAGCACAGCACAGGAGAGAGTTGCTGTTTTACCAGGGTGGACGGTCATCCACAGCACTCACTCCTTGTGTCACCTCCAAGGGAGAGTGAGGCTGAGAGAGGGCTGAAATCCTCCCCAACCCACTGGGAGAGATAAGCAGAGGGATTTGTCAAAGCTGAGATGTACACAGGAGCACAGTGCAAACAGGGAAAGCTGGTGGGTGTAACAGTGGGACATGTTCTGTTTATTTCTCTGCAAAGACTGGAAGAAACTGCTGCACTCTATTGCTCTACTATACAGGGCAGGGAAAGAAGCTTGGTAGTTGAGATCTGCCTTCTAGTCAGTGCAGGCCAACTCTGTACATTTAGACTAGTGAATGAGCCTCCTAAGTAGCAATTTCCCACTCCCCTTTCCAAGGAAGATAAAATCTCTGCTTTTTAACAGAATTGGGGAAAAGTAGCCTAAAATCTAAAGTTTCCCCATGAGTCTCACACTGGACAACCAGGCCACATGAAAACACCATTTGGAAATGTTTTGCTGTCCACTCAGTGTTTGGACTTAAGCATATTTTTCCATGAAGGGAGGCTGTAGGTCCAGAATCAGCAGAAAACAGCTGTACCTATGGACACAGCTCAGATTAACAAGTACTATAGAATAGAAGTGTGGGAGCTCAGGCCCTCTTCTGCTTTTTCAGTTAGAAAAAGGGGATAAATGCCACCATTTACCACCAACCAGTAAAAGGCAAAGCTTTTGCCCTCTCCAAGTCCAAATAACTTTTTCCAAATCTATTCTCAGGTATCACAGTCAGGTCCTATGAAAAACCATTTCCCAGGAACTCTGCTTTCCAGAAACCTCTATATTCCAAACACCTGAAAAAGGGCAATTGATGGAAAGCAAGACCTGCCACTCTTCATATTGGAAGACTCCATATAGGACAAGGAAAATAACCTTGGTCAGAGCTTTTTACACAAGCTCCTAAATTACCTTGTGCTCCTAAGCCAAATGGCCTTGCATTGCAGAGAATCCCCCAAAGATGAGAGTATTCTGTCCTGACAGCTGAGACTCCAAATCAAGACTGGGGGCTGCCTGCCCAGGTTTATGAGGCACAGCTGTCTCCTGAGAGGCCCTGGGGCAGTAGGAACCTTAGCAGGAAGGAGCTGCTCCTCCAGGCAATAGCAACCTAAGGCAAACTTGCCATCTGGGTAATTCCCATGCTCTCTGTTCTACACACAAGATCTGTGCCTGTAAGATGGGCCAGTGTCATCCAAACTCAAACAAGAAGGAAGACCAAAAATAAAATGAAGAAGATGCAGAGCGCAGTGAAAGAAGCAGTATCCTACCTGAGGTACAGGGAGCACTGTATTCCTGTATGGCAAACTCATCTGGAAAAGAGAAGGGAAGGGAGAATGAACTCTCATGACCCCTGGCACTGCTAGCAGAGTGATGCGTGCCACAGAGATGCTTTTCCCAGACCCTCAGAGCAGGCTGGTGCCTCTATCCCCAGTTTCCCCCAGAGATCCCAGTTGGGATGGAGGCAGCCCCAGTCCCAGCCCTGCCTGGGGGCAGTGGCAGCAAGGCAGAGCCACCTGCACAGGCAGCTCCAGCAGGTCTCCACCCCGGTGTAGCCAGGGGCTGCTCAGACACCTCCTTCCAGCACACTGGACTGAGGTGGGGACAAACAGCTCTGTCACTGTCACCCTGGCACAGCAGCCAGGACAGCAGAGGCTCACAGAGCAGCAGGTCTGCCTGGAAGCACAGGCACGGCCACACTGCAGGGCCAGAAATGAACACAGGACCCCCAGCATCCATGGCTCTACCCCAGTCCCTCTGCACCCCCAGAGCTCAGGGCAGGGCTGGGGTGGCAATGCCCGCCTGGGGCAGCTGCGAGTCCCCAGAGCTCCCGTGCCCCTCCGTGTGTCCCCCTGCCCAGCCTCTCTCCCACGGGCACTACTGGCACTCACCTGTCTCGTAGTAGTCATAGACCTTCACCTGGGCTGGCTTCAGGCCCCGCACAGGGATGTCCCTCTCCACGGTGAAGGAGAAGCTGAGGGTCTCCCTGCCCAGCTGGGGAAGGGAAGCAGGAGAGGCTCAGGGGGGCTCTGCACTGCAGGGGCTCCCCTGTGCCTCTGCGCTAACCCCCAGCTCACACACTCTCCCTGGCCACCCACTCTGGGGGGACACAGGGCTGTCCTCAGACACCCATACTCCAGGGATGTTAGCAGTGCTCTCCATCTCTATTTTGTGCTCTTGCCATTGTGCTGCAGGGTGCATCGTGTGCCCCACGGCAGCCCTGGGTCAGTCCTCACCTGCTCGACGTACAGCAAAACATGGTTTGTGTTCACTTCTGTGCGCTGGATCTGGTGAAACCGCGTGTTTGAGAGCTGGAAAAAGGAGATGTGGAGGAGGTTGATGATCTGAAGGGAAGTTAGTCAATCCTCCTCAGTTTCTGCCCACCACTAAAATCTCACTATGTACGTGCTGAGAAGTAAAGCACAGGAAGTGTACTTCCCAGGGGACTTGTCAAACACTCTTCTGTGAAGCCCCACATACTATGATTTCCCTCAGCTCCCATCTCAGACTCTTTCACCTTCTTGACACAAAAATGGAATGAGGGACCAGCATTGTCATGGCTGTCACATGTCTCCCAAGGCTTCTGAGTCCCTGATATTAGACCTGGTGGTCTCCTTCCATCTTTCAATCTGGGGCTAAACAGCACATATAAGCAAGCTATCACAAGACTTTGAGGAGCAGGAGGGGAATACTGCTACTGGCATCCCTCATGCACCCATACTCTAGAGCTGAAGAGTGGAAGAACTGGAGGAAAAGATGGACAGGTCTAAGAGTAAAGAAGGTACCAGGAAAATAATTAAATGCTACTTTATATAAAGAAATGGATGCTCCATATTAAAACCAGAAATACTCAGAGAAATGCTTCACCATACCTTCCCCACAGAGGACTTCAAGGGGACAAATCCTGACAGCATCTTCACATCAACAATCACCATGTTGGAGACATTGCGCTGCCCTGTGTAACTGAGAAACCAAGCAACAAAGATC